AGGATAACCAATATTTTTTAATCTATTTAGAGATTTAAGAATAGGGGGCCAGCTTTTATTAGACCAGTAGGAGTTGTTTACAGCTAATAGTAGCAAGGATTCTAGTTTACGATGTAAGGGGTGAGATGTTAGTTGTAGTGTCTTTGAGAGAAATCTATCAGCTAGAAATTGTCTTCGTAAAGAGAGAGGGGGATCAGCACATTCTACTTGTAAAGCATTTTTAGGAGTTGATTTCATTGCGCCTATGATAATACGTAAACATCTTGTTTGGGTAACATCAAGCCTATTAAGGGCCGATTTGTTGCAGGGCTCCAGAAGAAAAGAGCCATAGTCGAAGTGACTGCGGATGATGGCATTGTATAGGATTTTTTGACACATGGGGTGAGAACCCCACCATACGCCTGAAAGAGATCTAAGAATGTTAACACCTTTCTCACATTTGTCACTGATGTAATTAAAGTGAGCAGTACCAGTCATATGACAATCTAAGTAAATACCTAAAAATTTTACTTTATTAACAACTGGAATAGATTCACCATTATATGAGATATCAATAGTAGGGATAACACGTTTTCTACTAAAGGTTATTATTTTGCTTTTAGAAGCTGAAAGAGAGAGGCCATGGTCAGTAAGCCATTGATTAAGATAATATAAGCCTCTGTTAAGATGATGGGAGGCAGTTAGGATATCAGGAGCTGTTACATAGATAGCAAGATCATCTGCATATTGTAATATGTCACAGAAAGATGAAATCGAATGTTCAAGGTCATATGTGTAGATATTGTAAAGAATAAGGCTTAAGACCGAGCCCTGTGGTAGACCCTTCCAAATTGTTCTGGGCGAGGTTAACATTCCTTTATTGCGAATTTTGATAGATCGTCCCATGAACAGATTGTAAATGAAGTGTACAGTCTTCGCAGGGATGTTCAGATGAAGCATTTTCTGCCTGAGCACTGGAAGAAGAACACTGTCATAGGCAGATGATATATCCAGGAAACAACCCACCAAGTATTCATTTTTAGAAAAGGCCAACCTAATATCTGTAGTTAGGATGCTCAAACTATCTAATGTGCTTTTACCTTTACGAAAACCAAATTGACTTTTTGCAAGGATGTTATTATGTTCCAGAAACCATTCAAGTCTGTTTTTAATTAAATGTTCTAAAATTTTGCAAAAAGTAGATGAAAGTGCAATTGGGCGGTATGAAGAAGCTTTTAAAAGAAGGGGGTTTAAGGATAGGTATAACAATTTGGTTTGTCCAAGACAGAGGAATATTAGATGATATGTAGATATTGTTCAGAATTTGGAGAAGAATTAATTTACCCTTAAGGCTTAATTTACATAAACATGCATAGGGTATGCCATCTTCTCCTGGAGAAGAGGATTTTAAGCCAGATAACACAGACTGTAATTCGGACAATGAGAAGATTATCTCATATTGTTGATGTAAGACGGGACTGGAATGGGTGGGCATATTGCATATTCATTAGGGACAAAAGGAGGAGCTAACATATCAGAGAAGACTTCTAACCATGTTAAAGTTATCAGAAAGAAGGGAGCCACGAAATTTTTTTATATTTTTCCAAACTATTGTTACTGGTGAATTAGGGGACAAGGATTCACAAAATTTTTTCCATCAATTTTTTTTCTTTTTGGAAAGAAGTCTCCTTGTTTGAGCAGAGGTTTTTTGAAATTGTATAAAATTATCGGTTGTCATACAGTGATTATAAAGCTTTTCTGCAGCTTTTCTCCTTTTAATCATAGTGGTGCACTCAGCATCCCACCATGGAGGGGAGGATAGGTTCTTGCTGTAGGGTTTTTTGGTTGGGATAAATAAGTCAGCTGCTTCAGTTATATATTGTACCAATAGAGAGTACGAAGTTATTGGGTTGGTTGAGAAGTCAACCTGCATTTGCGCAAATTTAGTATCTAAAAATTTAGTGAAATTAGTCCAATCTGCGTCTTGGAGCTTATATTTAAGGAGGGGCATAGTAGAGGGTAAAGGAATAACCGCATTGGGTTTGGTAATAAGAATGGGAAAGTGATCACTTCCATATGTTTGATTGAGAGTTTTCCAAGAAAGCTGAGGGGCTAGACTAGAAGAACAAGCTGTTAGGTCGACAGCAGACCTAGGGTCTACTCCTGGGTATACTCTATGAGTGGGGGAACCATTGTTGATAATGCAAGCATTAATGTCTTCAAAAATTTGTATAAGTTCTGAAGAGTATATGTCACAAAAATGTGACCCCCAAGATACATGATGTGAATTAAAATCACCGGTAATAATAAAAGGGGGAGGTAACAAAGAAAAGAGAGAGGATAGTTCTTGAATTAAGTGGGTATTTGGATGAGGGATATATATTGAAATAATGTTGATTCCTGCAATTTTTGCAGCTACGGCATTAATGTGTTGGCTATGAGGAGGGAGTGTAATTTGAGAAAAGGGTAGCGATTTTTTTATGAGTAAGCAACAACCACCATAACCATTATTTCTATCTTCACGGAGGCAAGTAAAGCCTTGCAAGCGAAATTTGGAGTTAGGTAGGAACCATGTTTCTGATATTGAAGCAACAGAAATTGAATGTTTATTTATTAGGAAGATGAGTTCAGATTTTTTAGGTTGCAAGCTTCTACAGTTCCATTGAAGAAGATGGAGGTCTTTTGTTTGAGTCATTTATATTATCTATTAAACTAGCTAAATTAAAGATTTTTTCTGCAACGTTGTTCGGTAGTGAGTCTGACATTTTCAAAATTAAATTATTGAGGCGAGAAATTAGGCATTCAACAAGATTTTTATTTGGAGATATTTGGTTGTGCGTATTGGATAATGCGCATCCATTTGGAGTAGAGGATGGGCAGTCTATTCTTTGATGAGCTTGTTGGTCATACCCCATGGGAATTCTAGGTATGGGACGGGGAGGTTTGAAGATGGTTTTTCTATATGCCTGTGACATGGTGGGGAGGTTGAAGGAGGAAGTAGGAGTAGGTGAAAGCTGAGTAGAGGCCACTTCGGAATACGGTTTATGAGGATTGTTCAAACGGATAGATGGGATTTTGGCTGAAGCTTCTATATAGGATACATTTTGTTCTGACTTCATAACTTTGATAGATATCTGTCTTTGGTGTTCCGGACAATTTTTGTTATTAGCAAAATGATTTTTGGAGCATAACAGACAAGTGGCTTCACTTTCAGGAACAGAACAACTTGCTCCAGTATGCTCTTGGGCACAACGGAAGCAGCGTGGTTTAGAACGGCATTGATCTGCTATGTGGCCAAATCGACAACAGTGTTTGCATTGGATGGTGGGGAGTTGATAAGTTTCAACAGTAAGGGATGTGAAAAATGCATATATAAATTTGGGGAGTAACTGACCTTCAAATGTCAGAACAATAGATTGAGTAGGAACCCATATTGGGGATGATGACCCTTCAGCAAAAGTCTTTCTCTGAAGATGGCGAGCTTTTAGGATTTTACCACAACCGGGAGCTCAACAGCTTCTGCTAGTTCTTCCATTGACCAATCCACAGGGAAACCGCGGATGACACCCATTCGAGAAACATTATAGGATGGAATAGTTGCAATCAATTTTTCTTTTGCAAGCATTGGATTATTAAGAAATTTGTTAGCCTCATCTGCTCAGCAGAATTCAATAGAAATGCGATTTCTGCCAACGCTTTTGACTCCCCCTCTTTTGATGTTTTCTATTTTATTTTTAGACAAGCATAAACCTATTTTAATTGGTCGAAGTGATAGCCCTATTCTAGGATCTGACGTAGCCCGGGAGATGTGGACAATAAAAGGGCCATGGTCGTTTGGTCCATACATTCTAAGATTTTGTTCTAGGCAGGGATGTTTATATATTGTGTTTATTGACGCTGTTAAATCAATTACAGAATTCTCTTTATATATTACTGGATCAAATGATCGAGTCTCAGTGTGTCTTTTTTTACCACGGACACAATCATTATTGTCACTTACTCCAAAGCACATGTCTTCATCGGGAGGGTCAGGGGGTTTCTCACGAGGAGACCCCGTTTCGTCACCCATAGTTGGGTTTAATGTTCGAAATAACTATAACTTATAAACGTAGACTTAAGTGAGTGATAGACGGGCGAGCAAGTACGCGTACTTATGGCTCGACGACCTTTTTCGCTTGTGTGTCACCGTAAGTACGCGTAACTTTAAAACCGCCGAGTAAGTTCGTCGGCGATCCAACCGGTTTAAAATCTTACTCGTAGCTCGTCTTGGCTCGTACGTGTGGCAGCACTGCGAGCCGCGAGCCGCCATTTTGTTTCGCCAGTCCGTGGACGCGCACGCTTGTTTAAATTGCAATTTTTGATTCAGAAATTTCTCAAAATGTGTGATTTTCGAACTTATTCGCATGAACTGCTAACCGAATTTATAGAAGCTTTCCGAAATAACCCTTTTCTTTGGAAAATTAGAAGCAACGACTACAAAGACAAAAATTTGAAGCTTCAATAATTTATTAGAAATTATACGGAAGGTAGAAAGAGATGCTACGATTGAGAACGTCAAGAAAAAAATTAATTCATTAAGGGCTGGGTTCCGAAAAGAACATAAAAAAGTGCAAGATAGCAAGAAGACAGGTTCAGGAACTGACCAGGTATACGTGCCAAAATTATGGTATTACAGTCAGCTTGAATTTCTCAAAGATCAAGGCCAAGGTAAGTTTAATTATTTATTAAAGAATTTCTCTATACACTATTATATTATACCTGCGTATTCTTTGTTATGCCTGTGCCTAAATTAGGTAGGTACCTAAAATAGAGTACCTATTATAGCACTTTGTTTCATTACAATAATGACATTGTGATGTTGAACATTAAAACCAAAAGTAAATTTAGAGGGTTTTTATTTAATTACAGGTGAACAATCAACTGACAATATAGACAGCAGTGAACAGGAGACAGCTAATGATAATGAAAATACATTTGATGCTGAACATAGTGAAAATGATACCCAGGTAAAAATACTATTATTATATCATTCTTTGTTGCCATGACACTGCACCACTAGTATTAAAGTAGGTTTCATACTTTTCTCTGATAATTTTTGCATTTTGAGTGGGGTTACGACTATGTGTTTGTTGTAGTGACTGTAATTCTCCATTTTGTGGTCTCAGCCCCAATTCAATAGTTCCATTTTCGTGATTTTCACTATCTAAGTGCTGAAGTGGACTGTAAGCTTGTCTTAATTTCTTCCTTAAAAAATTGTGCAATACACAACATGCCAAAACTATTTTGTTAATATTGTGCACACTGGTATTTATAGGCGATCGAAAAATGTGGAATCTTGCCGCCAGAATTCCAAAAACATTTTCTATAATTCTTCTAGCCCTGCATACTCTATAATTGTATATCCTCTTACTTGAGCTAGCCTGTGATTGTCTTTGTGGGTACGGTTTCATAAAATCTGTCCTCAAAGCAAAAGCCACGTCGCCAATAAATACATAAGGCAATTCTTCTGAATGACCGCTTGGTTTTCTGGGGCTAGGAAGATTTAAGCGCTTGGAATTCAATCTTTGAAAGAATGTAGTTTTTTGTAATACACCTCCATCAGAAATACATCCATTTGTTCCAATATCTACATAAATAAATTCATAATTTGCATTTGCAATTCCCATAAGTACAATACTGTGATACCCTTTATAATTAAAAAATGTGAGCCGGCTCCGGCAGGAGGGACTATAGCTACATGTTTCCCATCGACGGCTCCTAAACAATTTGGAAATTGCCATGTACGCTTAAACTCTTCAGCAATTGCTAGCCATTCTTCTTCTGAACTCGGGAACTGTAACAAAAAAACCATAATTCAGTATAAATGATATCATTTTTATTTACAGAGTACCATTTGCAACGTGTCATCACCTGTGACACCTGCAACATCTGTTGCTTCACCTGCACGTCGTAAGCGACACGGCAATGCCGCCATTGAAGACACAATATCGTTAATAGGTAAAAGATTACAAAACCCAGATGATGAATATGATGCTATAGGAAAAAATGTCGCAATTAAACTCCGCAACATGACTGCTATTCAACAAGGCATAGCTGAAAAGCTCATCAATGAAGTTATTTTTTTGGGACGGTTTGAAAAATTAACATTCAATACAAGTATACATAATCCAGTTCCAGTCCAGGTACCCCAAAGACCATTGATACACATGCCAGCTGTTCCAGTCCAGCTGCAAGAAACACAAGCATTTAACTTGACACAAGACTCGCAAACTATTAGTATCCCGGACACCCTGGTTGAATATTTAAACTTTAATAATAATAACTAAAAATAAATAAAATAGTACGTTACATTTGTATATGTTCAAGAGTAAATTTATTTGTTAAGCATTAATGTTAATGTGCCCAAAATAAAGTCTGATTATTTGTACTGAGTTATTTTGTTTATAAAGTATGTAATAAATGATACATACCTTCAAATATGTTTTCCGTGCAGAGTAGATTGCGTCACATGTCTCAGGAATTATGTACCCCAATGGCTGTCTTGATATCGCTGACGAATACATTACATCTTTATATGTTCCACCAGTTATCAAAAATCGTAATGTTGCACTTAAACGTTCATGCGGTGAAATAGCTTCTCTCATGCAAGTATCCTGTTTAGCTTAATTGGTGTGACTAAACACAAAAGTTCTTCATACACAGGCTCAGGCATTCTGAAATAATTCTGGAAATCTTCCTTCTCTTCACGTAACTCTCTTACTAAATTCACATGTGATAAACGCTCTCTTTTTGTAAGCCAGTTCTTAACCCACACTTTTCGCCTTCGTCTATTGTTTTTAGTTTTTGAAATGTAATACGATATAATTCCTAAATAACACAAAGCTTCTTCAGTGGACGACATCGCGATACGGTATGAGTAAGTTGGCGCGTGTGTCGCCGACGTCGAGCCAAGTAAGTTCGCAATCTTAAAAACCGCCTACTTTAAGTTCGTACGTCTATCACCCACTTTACGCGGTTTCGCGTTAGTTGACCTGTAAGCAATATAATTAGTCAATATTTATTTTAATATACAAACATAGAGTGTAGTGGTAGCCACTGTGGATAACTACCTACTTGGTTTTTCATAGTATAAGAGCGACAAACGAGCACACAGTGCACCTGATGATAAGCAAATTCTGCAGTTCATAGATGTCAATATCTGTCTTCGATTGAGAATCAAAATGCAGATGCATTGCCACCTTTGAGGACCAAGCTGGAATACATCGTTTCCAGTTTTCTACACTCACCACACAATACACAGCGACATTAAGCCGCTGTTTTACGCTGATATTCTGTGAGAGCGTGGTCCTACTTCCGTCGAGCCGACCCATTCGTGCTACAACCATAATAGAGCTGCAGCGTGGCTCCACCACATTGAAAATTTACTTGCAAACTTCGATGCTGATTTACCACAAACTTAACAGTGCAGAAAAATATCAAGAAGAAATCTGCATGCTTAAAACAAAAAAAAAAGTATTTTGAAGACATGCTTTAAAACACTAAACATCAACAGCCTAACATTGATGCAACCAGCAGCACATGTAGACTGTATCTACATATTATATAATATATAGATTATGGAAAAAGTAAGTTTATTAAAAAAATACAGTGCCTCTGTTTTGATAGTATCAAATATTTGAGAATTGATTCCTGCTTCTATATTCAATTTGGGGAATACTGTTATTAATAAAATAAACTAATTCTGTGGAGTCTAGTAACTGGTATTACAAGCTTATGTTTGTTTCTAGTGTTTAAATTATGAACATCTTTATTCTTATCAAAGGTATTTATATTTTTAGGTACATAAATTACATTTTCATAAATATATTGCGATGTCAACGTTAATATGTTTATTTATTTAAAATTTTCTCTAAGGGACTCTTTACAATTTAAGTAATAAATCGCCCATACATCTCTCCTTTGCAAAACAAATATGGCTTTAATATCAGTCGCATAACCCCATAGCAAAATTCCATAAGAATCACACTATGAGTAATTAAACTAAACTAATCTAGCTGTCTTAATGTTGGTGAAACTTCTAATTTTTCTTATAGCATATGCTGCAGAACTAAGTCTGCCTGCTATTTTAGATATATGGGGGTCTCAATGAAACTTTGCATCAATAGTAATACCAAGAAAAACACCAGACTCAACTCTTCCCTATTTAAGAACACATTGGTATTTAAATGTTTAACATCATGTATTGTAAATTTAACACATCTTGTCTTATTGCCGTTTAAGAGCAAATTGTTGGCGTTAAACAAATGTATTAATTTCAACAGAGCAATATTAACATTGTCCAAATTAATTGACTGTTGTTCGAGTTGAAATCAAAAACATTTAAGTTCTAAACAGTATTAAGTTACTTTTTTACAGCATTATTAGGGAAATTGTTAAAAAGTTGAGATGTAGATTATAAGGATTCGAAGGAATCTATTATACACCCCAATGAAAAATTCATAGCCTAAATAAGTAGCACCACAACCAAAACCCTTATGCATGTGATAACATCAAATTGTGCTACAACTGTATGATGGTAATATTGAAACATAGACAGAAACACAGATTATGGATGCCAAATAAGCAATTTAATAGATTGTTGTACATCATGAGAATATTTAATAACTCTTTATAAAATTATTAGAAAGAGTTGAAGGGAAACTCACCAGTGTTGTCAGTATTTGAAGCCTTAAAGCGGTTCTCTACAACTTCTGGAATACAGTAGGTGTGATCCAAATGCTGTCTTTAAAAAAGCGTCGTTTCATACAATCAAATTAACAAACGTTTAAACTATTTTTTTCAGTCAGAAATTGTAATGCGGAAAATTTGAGGGAATTACAAATTTGAAATTATTTTAACTTGTTAAAAATTTATTTGTTGAAAGAAAAATAACAAGTCTTATGGAATAAATAAGGTGTAAATGCAAAATAAATCAACAAGCGGGCTATTCAACGATTTATATTATTAAATTATATAAATAAACGATTACATTTTCAACAATAGTATTACGGGAGTCGCAGGAAGAGTAATAACACACTTGATTACTTGTTGTTTGCTTTACTAGTGCTCACAACACGAATTGAATACGACAAAATAGTCTTCTTATGCGTAGCCATAAGTGTGAGAAAGATAGCTTGTCGAAGCATGCCGACAGCGGAGGGGGGACTAAGCTCCTCGCGCTGTGATTGGTTATTAAGAATTTTTTTTGAAGATTTTACGATTAAATTCTTGTTTTGAGATTTAGCATGTATGTATGCGCATATACGACCATGTAAATATCTGTGTATACAGTTTGAATGATTTAAGATCAGTGCTGTAATAATTTTTAAGATAGCTATTAATTTTAACCTCGTATTAACCCATTCGTTGCATACTTAGGCGGATGACACCGATCGGCGTAAATTATATTTTAGCCATAACTTAGCCAATTTCTATTCTAAAGGGATATACTTTTTATGTGTGCATGTTTTACATACATACAACACCATTATAGTTTCAGTTTCTGTAAATAATGATTTTAGAAAAATAACAAAACTATCCTCACGCGCCGATAACGCCGAACGGCGTCTTCTAGAGATTATCAACATAAAAAAAATTTGGATAAATATTTCTATATTATTTATTTTAGCTAGGTATTTTATTTTATAGAATTAAAGAACAGTAATAGGTTCATGCGGCGGGACTTACGCAACTTCAATACAGCTCGTATTGAAAAAGCGATCGAGCGGAACCAAGGCTCCAAAGTCTTTGCCAGAGATCTGTCTGCCAGAAAGAGCCAACTGTCAAAAGCTGAAGACCGAATGTGGCAGCATCGTTTCCGGGGCACCTGAGATTTTGAGTGAGATTGAGAGGTTCTATGGGCAGCTGTACACGTCATCGTTGGAGCTGCACGCAAGTGTGAGTAACGATCCAAGAGCGAGTCTTATCCGACATTATTCCGATGATATCCCGGACGTCAGTCTGAGCGAGATTAGAATGGCTCTCCAGCACCTTAAAAACGGCAAGGCCCCAGGCGAGGATGGAATTACAGCGGAGCTTCTGAAAGCGGGTGGAAAACCGGTACTTGAAGTCCTTCAGAAGCTCTTTAATTCCGTCCTCCGTGGTGGCATTACACCGGAGGCGTGGAGCAGAAGTGCGGTGGTCTTGTTCTTCAAGAAAGGCGACAACGCTCTCTTGAAGAACTACAGACCGATTTCCCTTCTGAGCCGCGTCTACGTGCTGTTTTCGAGTCATTATGAATCGTCTCGCACGCAGACTTGACGACTTCCAGCCTCCCGAACAATCCGGTTTCCGAAAAGGCTTTAGCACCATAGACCACATACATACCCTTCGGCAAATTGTACAGAAGTCCGAGGAGTACAATTTGCCACTATGTCTGGCGTATGTGGACTATGAGAAAGCCTTTGATTCCGTCGAAATTTGGGCGGTGCTGCAGTCCCTTCAGCGATGCCAAGTTGACTGTCGGTATATCGAAGTGTTGAAGTGCTTGTACAGTAGGGCTACGATGGCTATCCGAGTACAGAACCAGAGTACGAAACCAATCCAAATGCAGAGAGGTGTAAGACAGGGTGACGTCATATCCCCGAAACTCTTTACCGCTGCATTGGAAGATGTTTTCAAGCTTCTG